GGATAAGGAGGGAGAGGTAGTGAGTTTAGGGTATGAGCAGACATCAGAGAGAACAGAGAGACAATAGACAGACAGAGAGAGAAGATATGAATAAGAGAGAGAAACGAACATAGGAGAGAAAAAGAATGAAAAAATTAGAAGATTTTAGATATTTTATGTAATTTTAAATTTTTATAATTTTTTTATTTTTATATTACATAGACAAAGAGAGAGACCAAAGAGAGAGAAAAAAAACGAGCTAAAAAAGATAAACGAGAGAGAGACAGAAAGAGATGAGCCGAGAAACGAGAGAGAAAAAAAGACAGAGAGAACAGAGAGTGAAGATAGATGAAAGAGATAGAGAGAAGAGAGATGGACGAGAACATAGACGTAGAAAAAGAGAGAAGACAGGACGGAACGCACAAGACGACAGCAAAAAGACGTGACTGAGTGAGACGACGAGAAAGAGAGAGAGACAGAACACAGAGAGAAAGAGAGAGACGGAACAGGCCAGAGAGAAGGATGAGTCGAGAAGAGAGACAGAAACCATTAGAGAAGGGAGAGACAGGACAAACAGAGAAGAGTGACTGGAGTAAGAAGATGGGAGAGAAGAAGAGATTAAGAGACAGAGAGATAAGGCAAGATGAACAAAATGGGTGAAAGAGAAATGTTCAAAAGAGAGTAGACGACGTCGTTTATCAGTGGATCGATTAATCGAGAAGGAGCTCGATAAATAGAGAAGATGAGAGAAGAGAGACAGAGACAGACGAGATTCAAAAAGATGAAAATGGATGAAAAGAAAAGTTCAAAAAGAGTAAGAATGGACGTGCGTTATATTAGTGGATTCCGATAAATCGAGAAGGAGCTACGATAAAATACGAGAAGATGAGCTAAGAGAGTGAGCAAGCGCGAACAGAGTAGGGGAAATACGACAAAATAGACAAGTAAGAGAAAGAAGAGGAGAAAGGGAGTGAATGAGTGCAGAGAGAGACAGGAAGCAGAGGAGATAGACAGAGAAAAAGAAGATAGAGAACAGAGAAAGGAGAGAGAGAGACGAGATAGAGATAGAGGAAAGATTAGAAAAAGAGGAGAGGAAATAGAGACATGAGCGGACAGATTAGACAAAAAGAGAGAAAATAGAGTGAAAAAGAAGATGCGAGCGAGAGAGAGACACAGAAAAAAGAAGAGAGACAGGAAGAGACGATTCAGAGAGAAAATAAGAAGATTAAACGAGAGATGCGAAAAGAAATCGAGAAGAGATAGAGAGAAGAGAGCGATGATGTGAGAGAGACAGAAAGAGAAAAACACATTGAGAAGGATAGAGAGAGAGAGATAAGGCGACGAGACAAGATGGAGAAAATAAAGAGGAGAGAAAACAGACACGACAGAGAAAGAAGGTGATGAGTGGAAAGCAGAAAAGGAAGCAGAGAGAGATAGAACAGAGAGGACGATCGAAGATGAAAAAACATTACATGGAAAGAGAAAATGTTAATCATCAAAAGAAGAAGACTTGCTTTTTTTAAAATTTTTTTTGCAGACAGAAAAAGTACTAAGAAATTATTCAAACCCATTTTGTTGATCTGTTGTATAATATATGCAAGCTGTCTCAAAACCACCAAATCATCTATGCATCGGTTCAGAGTTTTCCCAAAACAACCTTTGAGAAAATACTGTTTTCTTGTTTTCCGTTGTTATATGTTTTTACTTTGAAGTTTTTTAAATTTCTAAGGTACTTTTTTTTTGAACTTATTTAACGCACGCTAACACATAAATTACACCTAAAAATTAAAAAAATTGTAAAAAAAATTTTAAACAATTGCACTTAAATACCAAAAGTACATAATTCAATAATTTTTTTTTGTATTTATTATGTATCTTAGTTAATTTTCTAAAAAATATCATTTTTCATAATTTTTTTTAGACTAATCTAAAGTAAGTATCTGAACGAAAAACATATTTTTTACAAATTTAAAAATATTCCACTTAAATAAAAAAAAAAACACGAAAGTAACTTTTCTGCGACGGCCCAAAAATGCCGATCTCAAAAAAGCAGATATTTGCGGACGACACCATTTGCTCGTCTCAAAAAAGCAGGGCATTAGGTGACGGCCACATTTGCCGGTCTCAAAAAAGCAGAGTATTATGCGAACGGCAGAAATTTACCGTTCGGCAAAAACGCTCTTTTTTTGAGACAGCAAATCCTGTGCCGTCGCAGAAAAGTGCTATGCTATTTTTTGAGACCGGCAAAGGTGCGTCGCGCAATTACTCTGCTGCTTTTTGAGGATGGCATTTTCTTGCCGTCCGCAAACAAGGTGACTTTTGAGACGGCAAGTGTGCAAAAGTGCGGCAAGATAGGTCCCGTCTTCATTACCCACTTTTCTGTGTAGTGATGGGAGCATAAGATTCACTTTATGTAAAGTGAAGCCAATTCACATTTTTTTTCTAATTTTTTTTCATTTTGATGGTTTGAATTGTTCAAAATAAAAAAAGAAAATACGACAGCTACGTCAAATAGGGAATTCTCTAATCTGTTTAAAATTAAGAAAATTCAAATAATTTTAGAATGATAGTTTTGGAGATTCTAGCGAAACGTATCTCCCTCAAAACCCCTTTTGTAAGATTCACATATCAATTCAAACAATCCACTTTCTATCTTTCTTTCCCAATGTCGGGTTGCTAAAAATAAAATTAAACAATTATAATTGGAGCCGGAGAAGATTTATTTCATAATCAAGCATTATTAGTTTTTTAATTTAATTATCGCAAATTCAAACAAATACTCAACCCAATATATTTGGTTAAAACCCGTTAAAAATCACATTTAAACTAACAATTCATGTCAAAAAATAAAAATATTTACGCATTAAGTTAGTTACAGTCAAAAGGACCAACACAGTTTACTTTAAAAATTTAATTAATTAAAACTTTTTAAATTTTATATTTATTTCAAAATTTGAAACTGTCACTAAATATGGAAAGTTAATCTATTAAATTCTAAATTTTAAAACTTGACACAATATAGATTTAAAAATTATAATCAATACTATCCCATGATTATGAAGTTTTACATACAAAATTTAAAACTAATCAGTAAATTATTCAATTAATTATTATATTAAGAGGAAATAGTAAAGAGTAGACGATTGAGAATTATCAATATATCTATAATATTTACAAAAGACATATTTTTAAGGACACGATATTATGAGAATTCAAAATACATCATATATGGAAGAATTGACTAAAAATAAAAGTTTAAACTGGAAGAACTCAACTAATAAGATTTCGATAATTGATTTAAAAGAATCTAAAAAAATCAAAAAAAAATTCAGTATGAGATACATTGATGCATACAGGTTTCTCACTAAACAATCTCATTTTGCTACTTTATAAATAGGAATATCAGATTCACTTTATGTAAGCTGAAACAATTCAATAATGAGGAATATTTCTTAATTTGTTTAAAATTAACAAGAAAATCAATTAAATTTTCAGAATCGAGGGTTTGGAACTCCTAAAAAGTTTCTGCCATAAAAACCTTTTTTTTCATATAATTATATATATATATATATATATTATTCATGAATTTACCCATGCATTGTTTGATGTTATTATGCCCAAAATTTTAAAACTTTATTACATGGTTTGCATAGAAGAATAATTTAAGACTAAACAAAAAAATCTTTACAATGTGACCCACCATAATGTGCTTTATTGTGCTCATTGCAGCTTTTTTTGGAAGAGAAAAAAAACTTTTTTTGGTCATGAACATGAAAATGATTCTTTGAAATCTAGATTTTTATCGGATTAGCCATGTATAACTTAGAGAATGAACTTATATTTCCTGATTCATAATTGAAGTTTTATTTTGTTGACTGTCTTTCAAATACTTTGTCTATCTCTTACTGCCATCAAAATCAAGGTTCTCGTCATATGTCTAGGTATATTTGGGGTTCACAAAGAAAGCAAACAAGAATTGAAGGCAAACGTTACTGAAAAAAATTCTCAAACTTCTTTTATTTATTTATATGTTATGGTTCATTTTTTATGTTCTTCAATCTTCATTTACATACTAATTGGATTTACTGTGCATGCTTGGATTTTGGTTGTGTTGGGTTTGTTTAGAAAAATTTCCAAAAACTTCATGACGCGGGAAGACCTATACTGGACACTTATTGGAAAGATATGCTAATGTTGTATCTATTAAAACTGCAGCATTTTTTGTTTTGCAAATGGCCTTATGTTCTTCATTGTTTGGGATAATATCGAGCAAGAATGGAATATCAAGAGCTGCCGCTTACTTAAAACTCAGAGTCCCTGCAAAGAAATTGACGATTTTTGCTTTTGGGATCAGTTTGATTATAGTTGATTATTATTTTGGAAGGAGAGCCAAAATGGATGACGATGTATTACAATTGTTTCAAGATAAATGATGCAATTGGTATGTAATATTTTTGGTTTGAGAATTTCTACGTTAAATGATAATGGTTGACTTTTTCATTGTAGTTTTGTTAGTTTTCATGAGTTGTATTATCATTGACTGTTACAATGAAACTTATATCTCCTTTAGCTATACAAAAATGCATTGTATGATGTTGGTTAATAATAATATTGTTTTTTTAAAATTTTTCAGTGCCATTTATATAGTAGTGGTTTAAGAACGTTAGTTTTGCAAAGTGTCAATTACGAATAAAACGTCTAGCATAACATTTATCTTCATTTAGACACAAATTGAAATAATCAGTACCACTAAAAACTGGGTCAAGTGGCATTTAATAAGCAGCTGTGTAAAAATATCAAATTTATGACATAAGAAATGCCATTAAAAAGCATTATAAATGACAATTTTTTATATTATAAATTTTGGTATTAATAACACTGATCAGTGATTCACGCATAACACTACCTAACATAAACAATCAGAAAATGTTAGTGAAAGGCCTTTTAGAACTGTTCATCGGTATGGTGACCACTTATAAGGTAGCACTTTGAAAAATGTATATTAGTAGTCTACCATTGATATGAATCTCTCTTCCTGTGTGCTTACAGCTGTGGATACTGCTGGATGCCCTGAGAAGGAGATTTTGAATTGTAACCAGATTGATACTGATGATGGTGTGGGCTGTGAAGACGAAGATGAGGAAGCGGCTGCAATGATTGCAGAATCACATTCAGGTGATAGTTCGATTTCAAGTCCAGTTACAATTTTTCTTGTGTTTTGATTTTTCTTGGCTCCAAAAGTCATTCCAAATCAACAGGATTTCAGTCTATTCATAATTTCTCCCACAACCAACCATCTTTAATTGCAACTATCATTTTAGTTTTGAAAATTTGGAAAAAGAAAAAGACTAATATAAAGTTAGCTATTAAGCTGCACAATTCCCAAAATTCCCAACTTTTTTGGGTTCAGCTATGTAAAATTTTGTTCTGCCATGTAACTCTGTCTGCTGTCAAAAAATTTCCTTTGAATTATTGGTAGTCTTGTCTTTAAAAATATTTGTGGAAGTGATCACTATGAATCTCAAATATGACAATTAAACCAGAACAAGTGTTGTTTTATGCTCAATACTGTTGTATTGTTTCCCTAAAAGAAGTGGTGTTTCAGGGAAGCCACCAGCCGATATTTAAAACATTACGACCAATATTTAAAACTTTGATTATTACCTTTTTTATGCCACTGAGAAGTCAACAGCCTTCTAAATGCTGCTATGGTCAGCTCTTGTTATTTTAATGCATATTATTTTGCAGGAGATAAAGCTGCAAATAGTAATGATTCAGACTGGAGCATGGATTGTTCTACAGTTCTAAGAGTTAAGACTTTACACATCAGCTCTCCCATTTTAGCAGCAAAAAGTCCATTTTTCTATAAGGTAAAGATCATTATGCTTCTTCAAGTTGGTTTTCTTTCTTTGCTTTATAGCAGTTCTGGATGATGTTCCACTCCATCCTGTTTTATCATTTATGTAGCTCTTCTCAAATGGGATGAGAGAGTCGGAACAACGACATATCACTTTACGAATCAATGCCTCTGGTATGGATTAAATTTCTAGCATTCTTCTTTTTGGACTATGTTTTGGTTTGTCCGACTCTTGCTCAGTATCAAACTTGAAATTTTACTTTTTGCATGACTAATATCTTCAAGTTGCATTTTCCTATAGAATGTTTAATAACTAATGTTTTGAAAAGACACAAACCAGCTTTAAGATGATTGAAAGGAGGCCTTTCCCAAAAAAATTTTATAAAAAAAATTACCTACGTTGTTGTACCATAATATTTTTAGTTTCATTGGAACAGTTGGACTTGGTTAATTTACAGGTAATGAAGCTCAAGAACAGCTTTCCGAGGCAGAGAAGGAGATACAGAGGCTACTGGAGAGATGCGATGGTGTTTCAAGCAACAGCCCGGCTTCATTGTTCTCCATGGAAACCATGGATCCACCTCCTTTTCTAGGGGAGTTTGGGATGGAAGGGTTTGGAAATATTTTTTATGTGCCAGAAAACAATTACAATCATGGCATGGATTGGGTTAATCTTATATGATATGTAATTAAAGCAATTCTAGTATTAATGTAGCTAGTGACCATCTTATGTACATTGCGAGCTTTGTTCTTATTTCTTTTTCATTTCTTTTTTTTCTTCTTTTTGTTGCATTTTTTTTTTTTTTGCATTTTTTTTTTTTTTTTTTTTTTTTCCTTTTTTGTTTTTTTTTTTTTTTTTTTTTTTGCCCTTGTCTTTCTTTTTATGTTGTAGTGTTTCAGTGATACTTTACATTTGACTAGAAGATGGAATTGTTAATGTTAGAATATAACTTGCTTTTTAATTATGGATGAATTTTAATTAATATATTAGACTTTTTATATTATTATATAATTATTGGGTTTTTTTTATAGTTATTTTTCATTTAATACAAGTCACTTTTATATTTTTAATAATTTTATTACAGGTTTTTTTTGTTTTTTTTTTAAATTTTTTTTGAGACGGCAAAACACCCCGTCTCAAAAAGAAAATTGAAACAGGCTTTTTGCGACGGCACCTATACTGTCGCAAAAGGTAGGGAATATAATTGAAAAATAAGGCCTTTAGCGACGGTATCATAGCCGTCGACAATAGTCATTAGCGACGGCTCAAGTTGCTGTCTCAAATACACTTTTAGCGACTGTATTTTTGCCGTCGCAAAAAATCATTTTAGCGACGGCAATACTGTGCCGTCGCAAAAAACTCAGATTTTCATCCATTATTGGCGACAGAAATTTGCCGTCGCAAAAAAGGAAATCCTTTTGCAACCCCTTTTGTTGCGACCCCCACTTGCCGTCGCAAAAAGCCATTTTACCATCGCAAAAACCTTTTGAGACGACATTTGGGGTATTTGCGACGGCGTTTTGCCGTCGCAAAAAATAATTTTTTTGTAGCGCATTTATAGAAATTATTGAATTTTCTTAATTTTAAACAATTAAGAAAATCTATATTGGTTAACTTCCATCTAACTTTTATTTTATAAGCCCACATAGAAGTTTTGATTTTAAAAATAATTTTGTATTAGATTTTGAAACTCCTATAATATTTAATTTTTAAATAATTACAATCTTACATCGAGAAAAGAAAGAAAGAGTGAGTTGTTTCACTTATATAAAGTGAATTTTATACTCTCATTTAATATTGTAGCATTGTGCATGTTTCAGTTCAAAATGGTTTAAATTTTAAAATAAAATTTATAAGTTTTAATTAATTAATTTTATTGTAAATTGGTTGATCTTTTGACTTACAAGAAAACTGGGTATATGAGACAGAACTATTTGCGACGGCAAACTTGCCGTCTCAAAAAGTCACTGAAGTTCCTTTTTGTGACGGCAGAAATGCCGTCTCAAAAAAGCAGAGTATTTGCGACGGCACCATTGCCGTCTCAAAAAGCAGAGCATTTGCGACGGCACTATTTGCCGTCAAAAAAATGAAGAGTATTTGCGATGGTATTTTCTGCCGTCGCAAATACTCTCATTTTTTAGACGGCAATAGTGCCGTTGCAAATGCTCTTCTTTTTTGAGACGGCAAATGGTGCCGTCGCAAATACTCTGCTTTTTTGAGACGGCATTTTCTGCCGATCAACAAAAAGGGCTTTCGTGTTTTTTTTTTTAGTGAATATTTTTAAAATTTTAAATATTTTTTTTAGATGTACCTTACTTAGATTATATCAAAAATAAAA